CGCCGCGCGCGCGCCGGGCCTCCTCGGAGGGCAGGAAGGCCGGCTGTCGGGGCTGGCAGGGAAGCTCGAGCCTTCGGGTCCCGCCCGGGGAGGATTGTTCGTGTTTACTGGCAGGTGACCAGATCTGGGTCCCCTGGGGCGGGTGGCCGAGGCCATCTTTTCGCCCCTCCCCTCTGATGTTTTTGTTGCCAGAACGCCGGAACCCCGCAAAGGAGCCTTTCTGGAGGGTTTTTAATCTTCGGGAAGTGAGTGTATGTTTTAGGTTAGCACATCAGATTTATGTGGATTGTCTAGAAAAGCTGAGCTGCCCCGAGGGCTTTGCCCGCAGCAGAGCTTAACAAACCACGTAATGTATCTCTAATAGCGTTCTGAGAACAGGGATGAGTGGGGAGTCCTTTGCTCTATAGAGTTCAGTCAGTGCTTTTGTGAAGGAAGTCATTCTTCTGGCAACACGTTACCAATCCATATGAAAAGTCTAAGCATTCTTAGGGCTTTCACACTTAAAAAGCATTCGTCTTTTTAAAGAGTACTTACTTGGAAGTCTGTGCTGCTTGGAGGTGCTTCTGGCTTTGAATTTTCTGAATCTTTACAATCCCGATTTTCAGTTGTTTTCTGCTGCTTGTTTTTTAAGTTGCAGCACACTCAGTGAATGGAAAAGGGCAGGAGTGAGGAGTTAAGTAACTTGGAAAATATATGTTTTAAAATGTGCTTTAATAAAAGGTTCGCTGAATTGAAAATGTATTGCTGTAAACGTTAAATTTCCTAAATAAGAGTATGCATCTTAACCAGGAGCTCCAGTAATTTGGGTAGATATTGGTGCAGGATTCTGAATGAGACCTGCTAGGCAGTAGTGATTTTAGCACTGTTAATATTTTGGGGAATATTATTAATATCTAGGCTCTGGAATAAGGTTTATTTTGCATAGTGTTGTCTTTAGAGCCAGCTACTACCTGTGGTACATGTATATTCTCTGGAGCATATGTCACACACCCACACACACGCATATAATTGTTTTAGAACCTCATTTGAGGCCATATCAAACTTACTCTGTTTATAGGTTAGAAATACTATAAAGATTGTCTTTAAAATGGTCACTATGAACATTTAAATGGTAACATGGGTTAATGGATTTATTCATGGCATCAACATGCTGTTTTAAGAAAAGATCTTCTTTTACTGCCATTATTTTAGGTATATGCTATCATCTTATTAAAGGTTAAGACTGTCTCCTGTCTTTTGCCTGTGGCTCTTGTATGAGTCGTATAGTGAGGTTTGGCCATTGCTGAGTTTTCTTGTCTTGGTTTTAGAAGACATTTTATTTTGATGTGGCTCATGATTCTTACTTGATAGTGATTTTGTGGTGTTACATAGTTGGTAGCTCTTTAGGTGTAGTGCTGCCTTCTAGGAAGGATGACTTTTATGGCATTGAGATGATTTATTCCTGGGCACTCTCTGACAAGTGAGATGCTGGTTTCATTTGAGAAAGTAGGTATTTCATAGAGGTTCTCTCACTCATCACCTTAACGTCCTGTGGTCATTTCTTGTGGCAAAGGAAAGAAGGGACACATTTATTAATAAAAAGTGCCTCGTTACTATGTGCCAAGATGTTTCAGTTGCCTTTATATACATTCTCATTTAATCCGCACTGCGACCTAGAGGCAAACTCAATATTATCCTCATTTTGCATGCAAGGAAACGAAGACTCAGATTATTGACCTGAGTTATGAATCTAGAAGTGGCAGTCAGGATTCAGTCATGGTTGATTTCAGGGGCCTGTGTGTGGGCCCTTTGCATTGCACTGCACTGCATTGTTGTGCCAAGTGGATTTTAGGAGAAAAACCTGCATGGCATGCAGGTAAGTCCTTAGTATCTGTTGAATGGATGAAACTCTTTCTAACCTTAAATATTCTGGTGACTTCTGATTATCTGAATAACTCAGAGTTTTTCCTTTTTTTGTGGTAAAATACGCATCACGAAATTTACCATTTTAACCAGTTTGGTGACATTAAGTATGTGCATGTTGTTTTGTAACCATCACCACCATCCATCTTCAAAATTTTTCATCATCTTCAGCTGGAACTCTGCCCTCATTAAACACTTAACTCCCCATTCCACCCACCTCTCAGACCTGGGCAGTCGCCATTCTTCTGTCTCTGTGGATCTGACTGCTCTGGGAACCTCATATCGTTGGAGTCCTACAATGTTTGTCCTTTTGTGACTGGCTTATTTCACCTAGCATAGTCTTCAGGGTTCATTCATGTTGTGTGTCAGCATTTCCCTCTTTTTTAAGGCCTAATAATATTCAATACACATACACATTTTTATTTTTCCATGGATGAAATTTACCCTGGGTTGCTTCTGCCTTTTGGCTTTGTGAATAATGCTGCTCTGAACATAGATGTACGGGTATCTGTTTGAGTCCCTGCTTTCAGTTCTTTTGGGTATATACTCAGAAGTGGTCAGACTGTTTCTCGGTCATCAAAACCCTCGATTCAGAATTTATTGCAATATGAGTTTTCCGAGGGTTGTTCCAGGCAGTTATACTATCCTATAAACAATTCCTCTGTGTTAATAAAAGACTTTAATCTCCTTGAGGCCCAGGATTTACTCCTTTTTATGATCTTTCTTCCTACCACTGGCAAGTGGATGTTCAAGTAGCTGAGGTTGTTGAGTTGCTTCATCCTGGGGCTTTGTTGCGCTCTGGTGTCTGGTGGGTGCTCGAGGAAGAGACTGGGAAGGCCTGTGTTTCACTTGTGTAAATATTAAGTCGAAGCCAAGTGATTTATCTTGTTTACCTTGTGCTCTGCTTTTTGGACATTCAAGAGTTTACTTCATTCAGAAACCCCAGTGGATGGATATGTATTATACTAGCTCTTATTCACAGGTTTCTTTGTAATATTTTTTCTATTGTTATGCACTTATGACTTGCCAAAGGAGACAGGAATCTTAGGAGACAGCATTATCTCTTTTAGTGGATCTTTTAGTCCTTATTTTCTGATTGTTTACCAAATCTTTTGCATGATCCAGGATGATTTTTAGTCGTAACTAATTTCTACTAAAGCGATTCTAGTATTAGTACAGCGATGTAGAGACAAGTGTTTATTTATTATTTGTCTACTTGAGAAAGGATTTGAAATTGTCTTACACTATAGGTTTGAGATGACTGAAAATTATGGCAAAGGTTGAGGGGTGGTAGAGTACGGAAGTTGCTAGAGGGAATTAGAGGAGAGACTTAGGGCAAGGATGGCTCAGCATCTGTGTGTAACTAGAGTTGTTTTTTTTTTATTTTTATTAGTCAAAGCAAAAGAGGAAACAAGACTAATTATAGTTGGCATTGATTAATGGGAGGAAGTATACCAAGAGAAGCAGACTTTTCTCTTGTACAAAGAATAATTAATCGTTTGGATTCTTGCATAAAACAACATTAACAATATATGGAGAGAATGTTTTGCATTTTACAGTATATGACAGGGAAACATTTTTCACATGCCATTTTAGAGAATGTGGATAAAAGCCTCAGGCATAATAGAAAAGCAAGCTTTAGTAATATAGGTGTGTATCAGTCTGGTAATTTGATTCAGTAGAGTTTAGTTAATTTATCTTTCAGCTGATGTCCCTGAAATATCAGTTGTCTCATTCAGGCTTTTGACAGATGCTGAATAACAATCCATTCGCAAATGAACTCTTTTCTGGACGGTATAGGCAGTCAGGATTCTCTCTGCCTGTCTTTAGGAATGTGTGTTGGTCGCCTTTCTAATGTGGTGGTGTATACTCTGTGAATGAATGCAGAGAGAAGAGCAGTATTTTTGAGGCCTAGCTGATGAAATTTAAATTTTCAGTCATGTAAAAAAGCCTTTGTTAAAATAAATCCCTAGTACAAAGTGGCTTTCCTGTTTATCTGAAATTGTCAATGAGTTGTTGATACAAAGTTGCTTTACATTCTAAATAAGTGACTAAGAAGGTGCCCCAAGAAAACATTGTCTGAGGATGTCAGTAAGCCTGTTACTAGAAAGAAGACATAAAGTAATTACATTTTGGCCATAGTGTTTTCATTTTCGAGGCTCACGGTGATATTAAATGTTTTGGCTGTGTAAAGGTTTATGAGAGTAAGGATGGAACAGTGCTGGGCGTAGTAGAAGGTACTCAGATTTGTTGAATGAATAGACTGGTTTATATTTAATTTTTTAAAGTACTTAGAAGCTAAGATAGATTTATGGAGAATAATATTATATATTAAGGCTTTTAAAAAGGTCGTTACTCTTCTGATTTTGGACCAGTCATGCTGTCTTGTTCTTGATTCTCCTCCATTTGTGATGTCCATATGACTAGGTGAATAGAAACATTGTGGACTGAGAGAAGTGTTAAGAATTTCCTAGAAGAAAAGTGCTGGGGCTCCTGGGTGGCTCAGTCGCTTAAGCGTCTGCCTTCCGCTCAGCTCATGATCCCAGGGTCCTGGAATTGAGCCCCCCATCTGGCTCCTTGCTCAGTGGGGAGTCGGCTCCCTCTCCATCTCCCTCTGTTCCTCACTCCACTCGCGCTCTCTCTCAAATAAATAAAATAT